GCAGGAGAACTGCTTCTCAGCAAGGTGGGTAAAAGAGGGAACTCACTGAAATTCAATTTTAGACAATCATGGTCTCTTAGAAACATAGAAATGAAGATGCATTGAACAAAGAACAAGAAAGAGTACATTGGCATGGAAAAACCTATGGATGATAAAAAGTCATAATTTAGCTATCCAGAGGCTGCACAACAAGCTCTTGTTTGAAATGTGCTTGTTGTGAAATCTGTTTCTCTCAACTGACAAGGGAAGACCTGACATGGAAGCCATCTTGAGGAGGCCACCTTGCAGTTTGCTGCTGCAGAAGCCTGTAAGATCATACAAGAACTGCCATAATGTCCCATCATGGGGCCCAACGTGTACCTAGTAGATCACAAATGCAAGAGTTACGGAGAATATTGTACCCATGGTGATTCAAGAAAGAAATACAGAGGGGAGTGCAACTCACTAACCCTTTGAGTCTGGTGGCTCACATGACCAGCTGAAGAGGTCATGAAACTGAACAAGTGGGTGTGAATATACATAGGGTCTAAGTGTGGGAAGGCCATGTTTGTGGGCAGTAGAGTGTGTAAGACTTATAGAGACGTGTAACATGTGGAGAGGACTGGCTTTCCTGTCCTACAAATAGAATTCTAGAGAGATTCCTGAGATCCTGGCAGCGATTGCCATCAGCCTGGCACTAGGAATGTGTGTTCTCCAGGGAAGATAATACTCAACAGAGTCCTTAAGCTCTGATTAGACCTAAGCCCTAGCCACCAGAACATCACTACTAGGACTGTGCAGAAGCCCCACACTCGGAGTGCATCAATGTTATCTGTCTGCACAAAACTGCAGTTGATAGTACTCCCCATTCCTTCCTATCTTATAATGGTAAGCAGGGAAGCTGAAAGCTATTTCAAACAACTTCAGTGTTAGGCCAATCCAGTGGGCAGCTTAGTGAACAACACAAAAAGAGGAAGGAGTTAACCCCCAACCAAGGTTGTGTCTCTTACTCTCAATACATAGCCCAAGAAGAAACAGAATGACAGTTGAACATAGGCACCAACATCCACCTTTATCAACACTTTGAAACATCTAAGTGGAGATAATTCTTTAAGTGTGCATGTGTGTATGTATCCTTGCTGGAGTGATTGGTTGGTAGACATACATACGTACATACATACATACATACATATATTTGGGTTTTTTTTATCTCAGTTTTAGCATTTTTTAAACATGTTTATTTTTCCTTGAATTGACCCTTAAGGGTCTGTGTTTTTGTCTTGTTAATTTTGGTTTTGTTTTGTTTCTTTTTTTTACTTGTTTCTCTTTCTCTCCTTTTTTTTCTTCTCGTAGTCAAATTCTCTTGTTCATTCTTTTTCTTTCCCTTTATTTTGTTTTATCTATTTTTTCTCCTCCTTCTTTATAGCCATCACTTCAGACATCTTTTCTGCATTATCTCTGTTCATGTTTTGAACATTCTAAATTGAGGAAATGACTCAATAGTATCTTTAGTTCCAACTAACTCTTTTTTTTGTTCTTTACATAAATATACCCATTCAAAAACACTGACATAGAATTCTAAGATGCCTAATTTAAAATGTTTTTTATTCTAAGTAGAAATCATCAAGTCTCTCTAATCTGCCTTTCCCCCATATTAGGGAAACCAGCATGAGAAAGAGGTGGCTATGGAGAAGAAATTGTCAAATACCTATTGTCTGTTGCCCCAGATCCAATCCAGGAGAAGGATTTGTTAAAATGAGCTGAAATTTTTCATCTCCTTCTGGAATGTCATCATCAAGAATCATGATTTCTATATTTTTATGTCTTTCTCCATCAGAAAAATGAAGAATCTGGTTGAAAGTTAAAAGGAATAATATCATTTAAAAAAACATTTTTTAATAAAATGTTTGGGATGAAACAATATAGTTGCGAACACAAAGAATTAGCTATCTTAATTTATTTAAACTGACAGTGTTTTATTTGAAAAGTAAAATTTATGGAGGAAAAGAAGAAGCTGAACATTTGATTAAGGGGAAAAAATTACTAAGAAACAAAGTAAAAAGTTTTTAAAACACAAAGTGTTTCAGTAAGTTAAAAACAATGAAATAAAGGATAAAAATTTCAAGATAAGAAACACTTTGAGAAGGTCATCTAATGATATGAGTTTCTTAACACAAGATCTGTATTCTCCAATATCAATTGTTACAATAGAAAAATTAATCTGCACAGAATAATTGTTACAATAAGACTAAATTTATATTACTTACTAAAATTCTAAAATTATTTTGCCACATGAAAATCTGTTCTAATTTACTGTGAATTGGGTTATGTAATAGTGTACTAATTTATGTAGGACATAAGTCACTATAATTCTCAGGGAACAGTAATTTTAAAATAATGCATAAAGGTGGTCTGGGATAGATGTTAAGACCTACCACTGGGGTGAAGATGTAATCCAGCCCCAGTTGTGCTTCCAAATTCTGGGCGTACACGAACAAGGACACATGGCCAGGAGCCTCTCCACTCCTGTGCACTACCAATATTACACTTTCATGGGTTTCGTTTACTTCAAATCTGTAAGAACAGAAAGAGAAAGTAAAGAAAGTATTTTTTTTCCCTATTTTGAACTTCTATTTGGTAGATGGTAAAAGATCTGAAGCTTGGAGAAGGGCTCACAGAGCCTTGGGATCACCTGCTGTGCTGCCATTGGATCATCCCTCGGGCACCATCGTTGGCATCAATAATGATTTGTGCAGTCAAGCCTTCTGAATCTGAAAAATATGCAGACATATTTAAATAAATACAAATTTATTACTATAAATTTTGTATAAAGTTTTATTATTAAACTTTAAAATTTTATTATGCTTGATCTAGAATTTAAAGATAGTCCCTATGAGATTATATAATTCCTAATATGAATATTGCTGATATTACTCAAAAGATTTTAAGACTACAAAGGCACCAATGCTAATAACATCTGAAAAAGACCACTTTGCTAACAAGAGCCACTGACTTATAAAACTTAAATCAACCATGAACAGCATGAAATAATAAGCAACTAAGGTTATGGAGCTTTTCCTATTATTTTAATAAAATTTAACTTGGCACCTCTGTTCTGTAATAGAACTGTTTCAGATGGGAAGGAGTAGAGAGGCAGAAAAAAAGAGGTAAAAGAAATGAGAAGAGAAGGGCAGGCCAGGAGTGGCACAGAGACCAAGACAGGTCTGGTAAAGAGACACAAGGACAGGGATACATAAAACAGAAAGCAGAAAGATGAGGTTTCTATTAAGGAGAAGGAGAAGGAGAAGAAGAAGACTTTGTAGAATGAAAAAAAGAGACTAAGATTGAAGTGAATTTCTCTTATCATTTTTATTTTGTTACCAATACCTGCTATTCAGTCTTGAAATATTAACTAACCCTGTTCTTATGTTTGTTGGTTGTTTTTTTTTTAATATTTTCTCTTTTCTTTAGTCTAGGTTGCCTGTGACAGCTGCACAGGTAGAGAAAGGAGTAGGGGTTTATGCACTTCTCTCTAGATTGAAGAGAGCAATACTGAGAGAATATAAAACCAAGAGAGAATATAAAACTAGGATTTGTGCCCATCAGAGTATCCCAGCCCTGCCATTTCATAGCTGTGTGATTTTGGTCATATTATTTAGTTTCTCTAGCCTCAGTCCCCTCATCTATAAAATGAGAAGATGTAAGTAACAGCAGTTTGTCACTGAAAACATATCAAATAGGAGCATCATAATGCATTGAACATCACTCACCTACTCAACCCATCTCTAATATGAATATCACAGAAACAGGAAGTATTTTATTAGTTTTCTTAGAATGAAAAATGTTTATCATGTAATCAGACTCAATGGAACAGCCAAGTCATTGCACTTTTCTATTTTTTTGCAAAAGATCTGAAATTTGGCAAACAATAATATGTAGGAAACTAATTACTTCCTTTCAGTGTTTTCAAACTTGTCACAATGAGTCTCTGATGTGAATAAGGAATGCTGTTCCTCAAGCCACTGGGCTTGCCCAGGCTTCTTCTTCACCAGGTTTATGTCCCCTGGGTGCAATATTCTTTCTACCCTCATGATGGGGTCATGGAGCTGGGCACCCTCTGTGCTACTCACCTCCACCCCCTAGTGGGCCATCACACACACACACACACAGGCTTCAGACAAAATTCCTTAATACTAAAACATTCAAACTGCAAACAGGAGTTTTTGCTCCAACATGGGAAGTCATCTTTTTAAAGGAATCTACATAAATCTATACCAAAGTTCAAATTTTACCTTTCAGTCTGTAATGAATTAACTGAGTCTTTTCTAAAGCAT